AAGTTAGTAAGATTTCCTTATTCTCTCCTTTTTTTTTTTCTTTTTTTCTTTTTTTGTATGACTCTATCACATTGACTGCAACTTTGCCTTTGATTTTGCAACATTTCAATTAGCTCATGGGAAGAATCTAGATCACCATCATCTTCCTTGACATGGATCTGGATCATTTGAAACATATACCAATCCTAAAATGGCATCATTGTACTCAGATTCATCATTAGCAAAGCCTGAAAGCAAAAAGAAACATGGATAAGCAACAGCATGTGAGGAAAGCATATATATGCAAGTAAATTTTTTGTTCTTTTTTGTGTTTTTGATTTTCTTTTTGTTTTTGAGCATATTAATGGCATCAAGAAGAGTTGCATCAAGTTTGAAAGATGACAATATGGCAACATATGTTATTGAATTGTAAAGACTGGGAAAACTAATTAGCATGATAGCAAATATTTCAGAGAATATAAAAGAGCTTGTTATTCCCTCATTTCATCTAGCCACAAGCTGAGCTACTAGAAAGCTGACTCATCCCACTTATGGATGAATGAAGCAGAGAAAAGCTTGACTGTCCAATTGGCCAAGGTACCCCCAGGCAGAAGTAATGGTCATGTCAAATAGGGGTTCATCCCTAGGAGCAACAATACTTGAATTTCCCCATGTCCTAGATTTGCCCCCTCATTCATTGAATTTACATCCACATGTCTTGTGTGCAAGTCTACTTCAACATCATATCTTGGTGAGTTTATAAGAGCATGTTGAAGGTTGCCTTTTAGATGGATGATGCATTGCTCCGAAGAGTGAGAAAACGTAGGAAGACTATCATGCTTGATTTTTTGTTTTTGTTCTTGAAGTAGTCTACCTACAAACAAAAAAATAAAAAGAAAAATAAACAAAGTCAAAATAGTGTTAGGAATCATCCCATAATTTTGCATGATTTAGTGTTTCAACAATTGCTATATGGCTTCACACATTGTCGATTTCCAATCTTTAAGGAGCCTCGGATGAAGCAAAATATCTTTGAACCCCTTGAGATTTCCATAGACTCCAAGGGCTACATAGAAGACATTTACAAGTATTTCAACATGCATTACAAAGATGGTCATTCATTACAAAGCAAAAGCCTAGTACATCACACTAAGTACATCAACATGGTAGCATTCAAATCCCTAGTAAAATCTGACTCCTAGATCTTTCAAAATACAATTGTCTAATGAGAAGTTGCATTCCTTTCCTTGACGAATCCCTTGAGTGTTGGAGCAACATGAAGTGTGATGTGCTTGAGCTTTTGATCTTCGAGGTTGCTCTTGGTTCTTGTCCTTCTAAACTTGCCCCTTGGACTTGGCAATTGTCCACGATGGAGAAAAATGCTTGCAGTTAAAGATCTCCTCAACCCTCTGTTGGTCAAAGCTTTCTCCACGGATGAATATTTCAAAAGGTGTCTTGACTGACAAAGAATCGCACTTGACGATGTATGAATCCATATTTCAATTGTTGAAGGTAGAGAATCAAACAAGATTATGGGAATGCAAGAAAAGAAATAAACATGGATGCTAAAAATAGATGAAGGATGAAGGAACATGAATATGTTCTAAAGTGATAATGTGTGTGGAGTTGTATCCTAAAACATGCATTTGCAAGAAAAGAAATAAACATGGATGGGAAATGAGAGATAAAAGGATGCAAGAATATAAATATGCTGACAAGTGGTAATGTGTGTGAAATTGTATCCTAAAACATGAATTTTTTTTTTTTTTTTGATGATTCACCATGGCAAACACTAAATTGGCATTCATGGGAAATATCAAAATGCCATGAAGCTTGAAGAAAAAGTGAATGGTGATGCTTGGAGAAAATGATGATGTGATGCTCCAAAATCATGTGCTCAGATTATTTTGATGTCTAAAAGATGGGTTTTTCATGAATTTATCTTTGAAGAACCTCTATTTCTCTTCTTTTTTTTTTTTTTTTTTTTTTTTTCAAAAATGTGAAATGCTTTAGATTTAGTTGAATAAGGCCCACAAGTTTGAAACATGCAAGTATAAAT